CCACCCCCACACACACACACACACCCACCCCCACACACACACAAGGGGGGGGGGGGGGGTGAAGAAGACTTAACTACAACTCCTTGAAGGTGATACAACAAGCAAACAGAAAGGACCCTGTTGGGTGGGAGGGGGGAGAGTGAGGAGGGAGGGGGGTTTCAGTGATGGGTCACAATAATCAACCTCATTGTATATCGACAAAATAAAATTTAAAAAAATAAAATTCCAGGGCATAGGGACATTTCCAAAAAAAAAAAAAAATATCTGCCGAATCAGTACAGGCAGGAAGCAGAACTGCCAGGACACGCCAATAGTCAGGCTTCTGATACCCATCCTCAAGGACTTTGTGCTTTCAGTCCTCCATCTCCCTTCTATGCCACGACTTCTCCCTCTGAACTAGGTCATTCCCAACAGTCTACAAAACATGCTCTATTACTTCCAATATGTAAACAGCACCCCCCACCGCCCACCTCACATGCCCTCCAGCTATAGTGCCCAGCACCCAGCAGGTGCTCAGAATGTGCTTGGTGGGGATTGAATGGGGGGACTGGAGTGCATGCCTGGACCCCCAACTCCTACTTGGTACTTATCACATAACCCAGTGATGAGAAGACAACCCTCGTCTTATCCTGTGACAGTCCGTGTGAAACAACAGGAAAGCTGCCATGATACCCATTCTGCAGATGAGGAAATAGAGGCTCAGAGAGCTTAAACAACCTGCCCGAGGTCATGGAGCCCATAAGAACTAGATTTGCAGAATGTAAAAGCTGGATGGACCCTGGAATCTTCCAGTTCAAATCCTCCAGCAGACTTCCCCTGTGTGAGACTGAAGCCCACAGAGTCACACCTCGAGCTCACATCTGAGCAACTCCCAGCCCGTGCCCTGTCCCCTACACAGAGGGGCCTCCTCCCTCGTCCTGGGGCTCAGGAATGGAAGGAAAAGCACAGTCCCCATCACAGCGAAAGAACAAAGGGGAGGGAGGGAAGGAGGACAGACAACTCTCCCCCAAGCGTGGCTCACAGAACAAACTCCAGGGTCAGTAAATAGAATCTTGGTGGCAGCAGCATCTGACACAGTGTCCACTAGGCTGTACCATGAAGAGGACGCAGGCGACCCCCATCCCCAGGACGGAAGGACCCTCCCATCTCTGTCATCTCAGAGCAGACTGCCTGGTACAGCCTCTCTTCTCCCTGGTGACCACAAGGGGGCAGCAGTGCCACATGACTGGACAGCGGGGACACCCGCCCACCCAACCGTGCTTCCTGGGCGGGGGGAGCTTCCATCCCAGCTCCTGGGCAGCCCTCTTCCGTCTGTGACCAAAGCCCACCGGCCGCTACATGACTCCGTGCCCACTCCAGACCTCGAAAGCGTGACATCTCTTTTTTGTGGGCTAGTGCTCAGCCAGCCCCAAAGGCCCCCTCCTGCTGACACCTCCCCAGAGCCAGCTCCAGGGCTCCAGAGACAGACCTGACACCTGGATCTCCCCCAGACCAGCAGGTGAACAGGCAGAGTGAGCAGCTGAGCCCCCAGAACCTCCAGAGGGCCAGGGTGGTGTCCACGGGGTGGGGGAGGCCATCACTCAGCTCCTCCCCAAACTGAAAAGGCCTCCACCCATCATGGGGTGGCACTTGGGGACTCTGGTGGATTTCTCCCAGCCTTCCAGCCCACAGGACTGAGACCCTGGACTTTACCCAGTCTGCCCCCCAGAGGCTGGGTCCCAGGCCCCCACAGCCTGACAGGGGCTTCTGGGGGCTGAGAGCTGATCCAACTGAGGTCATCCATTGAGTGGCCAGGGTGGCCCAGCTGTGGACACCTCCAGGCCCAGCCCCTGCAGAGCTGTCCCTGCCTGGCATTAGGTTTGCCATTAGGAAAAGCCAGTGCCCTTAAGGGACTGGCAAATGTCAAACTCCAGCTCATGCTCAGGTCTCCAAATGCAGCTTTCAAATGGCAGGGACTTTGGGAAACCCAGAGAGCCGGGAGTCCGAGATGGGGGCCTAAGCCGGGGGTTACAAGGCTCTGCCACGTCTGGCTGCGAGTCCCCCTTCGGGAATCAGCTCTGCACTGGAAATGGGGGGCATCACCTGCCCTGCTGCTTTTCTGGGATACAGGAGGCACACACGTGAGAGGACTCAGGTGCCCCCAGGTGACAGCTTTTTCCAGGAGGCCAACACTGCAGCCACCCACGGATCAAACAGGCAGGCCTGCTCTGAGCCTCGGGCTCGGCAGCTGCTGAGAGGATGGACACCTCTCCATGCTGACCACCTCGCCTTTGCACAGGCCATTCCCACCACCACGGATGCCTTCCCCACTTCCATCAGTGCACAGCCACCCCGTCCTTCAGTGTGCAGGAGAGACCACGCTCCTGGAGACACCCCACATCCCTTTCTATCCTCCTCATGAAGGGCAGTCAAGAGCCCAAGTTCAAATCCCAGCTCCGGCTCCCCTTAGCTGTGTGACCTTGAGCAAGTCATGGCATCTCTTTGAGCCTCAGCTTTCTCAGCTACAAAAGAGGGACTGTAGTAGCAACACCACTGATGGTGAAGGTGGATGACACCGTGCAGGAGCTGGGACCCCCTCAGCCCGAGGCAGCAGCGCTCAGCTTCCTGAGGGCCCACCTGCCGCCCGTTCTCCCACTTTCTCAGGTCTCACCTCCCGGATCAGCTGCTTCTCGGCCTCCGTGTCATGTTGAATCACAGGTGGGGGCAACAGCTTCTCCTCAACCTGGACAGAGCTTGGGGACACCTGACTGGACAGCAGGGCTGGGAGAAAAACAGAAATGGGGAGCTGAGGCCAAGTGCACCCAGCGTGCAGAAATTAGGCACAATCCGTTAGAAGATAACTACACGGCCATTCACGAAGACTTCAAAGTACTGAACTCACTTCAAACATGAGTCTATGTAAAATGCCAAGCTTGTCCTCCATAGATATACATGGAGCACACCTAGATGTTCTCGACACTGGAGATGCAGCTCTGAACAAACTCCACACGGGAAAGAGGAAAAAATAAATAAATATGCAAAATGTGGAGCATGTTACAAGGTGACACGTTCTAAGAAAAAGCAGGGAGCGTGCTTGGAAATAAGAGCCAGAGGGAGGGTAACGACTTAAACAGCGCACAGTGACCTCAGTCCAGGTGAGATGAAAGCAGCGCTGGGGGCCGGCCTGTGGCTCACTCGGGAGAGTGTGGTGCTGATAACACCAAGGCTGCGGGTTCAGATCCCTATATAGGGATGGCCGGTTGCTCACTGGGTGAGCGTGGTGCTGACAGCACCAAGTCAAGGGTTAAGATCCCCTTTCCGGTCATCTTTTAAAAAAAAAAAAAAAAGCAAGCAGCACTGGAGGGAGGAGGCAGAGGCGGGCAGAGATTCTGGGGAGGAGCTTTCCAGACAGACGGGGACAGAGAGTGCAAAGGCCCCGAGGCAGGCATGTTCCAGGAGGCAGAGGGGAGGCTGGAGAGGGAACAAGGCCAGATCGTGGCTGCTGTGTGGAGAACGCACTGAGGGGACCTGTCAGGGGCCCCTGCGGTAACCTGGGGGAGAGGTGCCAGCTGCTCAGGCCAGGGGCCAGCTGTGGGCGATTCCAGACAATGGCATCTGCTGGCAGATTGGACGCAGATTTGAGAGAAAGCCAGAAGCCAAGGACGACCCCGAGGTTTGTGGTTTCAACACCTGGAAGGACTGAGTCACTAGCAGCTGGCGGGACAGTGCAAGGCAAGCAGATTTGGGGCGACCAGGAGCTCAGCATGGGATGCCTTCAGTTTGAAATGCTTATCAGCTTATTTAAACAGCTGCGAGTTAAATGTGGAATTCAGAGGACATGGTGTATTATGGCTTTTAATTTTTTTTTCTATATTTTATGATGTTTTGACATCTTAGGGGACTTGCTGGCTGAGGACTAACTAATTCCTAGAGACAGTAAACAACCTGCGGGGAGCCACCTTTCATATTCAAACCAACCCATCCCAAGTCCACAGCCCCCTCCCCCTGCCACCTCCTTTGTCAACTCTCACACCTCATACCAACATGTCCCCCACGCTAAACAAACCCAGGGCCAGGTACCAGACAACTAGGACAGCCCCCAGGCCACAAAGCCCACTGGAATGATTCAAACGAGCCAGTGCTAATCCATCTCCCCAGCCATGTCCTTCCCACGGAAACCCCAGTAACGGCTCCTGCCTCGTGAGCAACCCTGGTGCCTCCCCCGCGGTCCTGCGTGTCCTGCCTCTCATCATCTCATCTCCAGGGCAACCGCGGGTCACATTCAACTTTCCTTTCAGTGGCACTGACCTATTATCACTCAGTCACCTTTACAAATTAAGACGCAGACACAAATCTCACGGCCAGGCTGGGGGTCCACGTGGGAGAGACAGGAGCACAGAGGTGACGTTGAATGCCATGAGACCAGGTGAAACCACCTCAGCAGCGAGTGTAGACAGAGGAGAGGACTTGGGACTGACGCCGGGATAGCCCGGTGGTGGCGTTAGGAGGTAGGGACAGGGGAGGCCTGGGGGCCTGCGGGGGAGCAGCTGGAGAGGCAGGAGGGGAAGCAGGACCCCGGGTGGCCGGGAAGCCAGGGCTCCAAGAGTGAGACCGGCCGAGCCAATCGATGCGGAGAGGCAAGGCGAGGCCTGCCTGAGGACGGGCCACCAGCGACAGGGCAGCTTCAGTGGGGAGAGGGAGAAATGGGGACCAGAAAAAGGAGACAAATGTGCCAAGTTTTGCTACAAGGGAAGGAGAGAAATTGGCCAGTGACCAGAGAGAGGACTGGGGTGGAGGGGCGCAGGGTGGGGAGCGCCTGGAGCCCGGGGTGGGACGCCCTGGTGTCCGGCCCGCTGGAAGCGCTAGCAGGTGTGTCGTGTGTGGAGCCCTTTGGGCCAGCTCCATGCCAAGCCCACACACCCGCTCTCAGGGACTCTCCCACCTGCCTCCCAGCCACACAAGGCAGGTGCCGTTATTCTCTCCACTTTACAGATGAGGAGACTGAGGCTCACAGGGGCTAAGCTGCTTAGCCAAGGAGCAAGAGGTGAGCTGGCTGTTCACTGCTTGGCTCTCAGCTCTGCCCAGCACCACCCGGCCACTTCAGCTTGCTGAGCTCCACGCTCCTAATCCGGGAAGACAGGATGCCAGCAGCCCTGACCCCAGAAGGCCGTTCAAATATTAGCTGCTGGGTTTGGGGAGCCACCAGCAGAGCCTCCCCACCCCCTCCTCGTACCTCTCACCTCTTCTGCCTCTGTCCTCGCCTTACCAATCTAGGGGTGGGTAGGGTCAGTCAGGGGGAACAGAGGAAGAGGGGGAAGGCAAATGCCAGCCTGGAACCCCTCCTCGTGGTGTTCAAGGCCCTTCCACTCCAGCACCGCCAGCCTCTGCCTGACCGTCTCCCACCAGCCTCCTCTCTATGCAGCCAGCAGAAGTACTTCCAGTTCCCCAAATGCACCTTAGAGTTTTGTGCATCTGTGCACACACTGGCCACTCTCATCCTAACAGAGAAACTTCTTATCCTCCAAGAGGCAGCTCAAGCACTGTCTACTCTGTGAAGCCTTCCCTGACTGACCACATCCCCCCCGCACATAAACCTGGCGTGTACTTCTTTCTACCCTGCACAGCCCTCTGCCCCAGAGTTTGTCTTGCTGCACGTGATGGTCTGCTGGAGTGTCCTTCTCTCCCAGGAGGTCAGGTACCCCCCAATATGATTCATCTCTGTCTCCAGTGCCCAGCACAGGTCCACCCACAGAGGAGGTGCTCAGGGAACTTTGGATGGATGGACGGACAGATGGATGCGTAAAAAGATAAAAGAATGGATGACGGGATGGAATGAACGAATGGGTGGATATATGGATGGAAGGCTGGATTGGTGGGTGGTCAGAATGGATGAGTAGATTAAATGGATGGAAGGATGGATGGAGGGGTGGGTGGGTGGGTGGTTGGAAGAAGGAAGGAAAGAAGAGAGGAAGAATGGACAGATGGATGGACAGGTGAATAAGGATGGAAAGACGGATGGAAGGAAGGAAGGGTGGATGGATGGATGGGTGTATCAGTGAGTGTTGGGTGGATGGATGGACGGACGGACAAGTAGATGGAAGGAAGGAAGGAAGGTAAGTTGGACGGGTGAATGAATGAATGGGTGGATGGATGAATAGATGGGCAAAGTGGTGGATGGATGGATAGATGGATGGATGGATGGATGGATGGATGGATGGATGGATGGATGGATGGATGGATGGGTGGTAGGTGTATGGATGGGTGGGTGGGAAGGTGGGTAGGCTGATGACAGGGGAGGTGGATAAATGGGTAAACAGCTGGATGGAGGGGAGGGTGGGAGGGAGGTGGACGAATGGACAGATGGACCCAGGCTCTTTTGTGATCCATTCCCCAAGAGATTCTAAGATAAAGAAAACTTTAGAATCCCTCCATTCCAAGGGCCCTGCAATCCTCTGTCCCAGGGGTGCATTTCCACCTGCCAGATGACAGCTGAGTGCCTGGGCGTGAAAGCTGCGATAACAAGTGCCCAGCTGGGAGCAGGGGCGGGACGTGGGAAGTGAGTCACCCAGCTGCTGAGCAATGCAGCATCACGACGCTGCCAGAGACAGCAGGCAGACAGAGGGGATGACGATGAGCAGCCCGCAGTGGAGAGCAGGTCACAAGCCTGCGGCGGATGGGCCAGGCCAGACAGACTGGCCTCTTCCTGGGCACTGACAAGCAGATGCCAACCAGGGCTGACTATTCAAAAGACCTGCTCACGTGAAGTTGAGGGGAGGTGAGGATATCGCTTCCACCATGTCTCAGATGGGAAGTGGAGGCAGGAAGACAGGGAAGGAACCTTTCTCCTTGGCCCTGACCCTCCCTGCCACGTCCCCTGGCTGTCCTACCTGACAGGCTGCTGGGGCTCATCTGCTGGGCCAGGATGGCCTTCAGCTTCTTGATCTCCTCCTGGTACTCGCGGAGGAGCGCGTCCTTGGGGTCCTCATTGATGCGTGGCTTGTTCTTGATGTTCTTGGCTCGGTTGGCGTAGCGCAGCGTGCTCAGCGTCTCGTCGTAATTGTTGTCGGCGGGTGACAGGCAGGCCACCATCAGCGTCTTGGTGTTGCCGCCCAGCGAGTCCTGCAGCAGCCGCGTCAGCTTCGAGTCCCGGAAGGGGATGTGTTTGCAGCGCCCATCCACCAGGGCCGAGATGACGTTGCCCAGCGCCGACAGTGACAAGTTGATCTTGGTGGCCTCCTTGAGCCGCTCCCCTGTGGCACCCGTCTTGGACTGCCGCTCGCTGCCCGCCAGGTCCACCAAGTTCAGCTTGCCTGCCCGGAGGTGGTCCTTGCCCCGCTCGTCTGCAGAGAGACCCGGCAGAGGGGCGGGGGCCTTAGGCGAGCCCCCACGACCATGCGGGCAGTTAGCCACTGGGTACTGACTGCCCGCCAGCCCCCGAGGGTTCCATTTCAGCCACATAGGAGGCCCATGAAGGAGATGGCGTTATTGTGTCCATCTTACAGATGAGAAGACTGAGGCTGAGAAAGGGTATGAGACTTGCCCAAGGCCACACAGCTGCTAAGAGATGGAGCCAAGATCAGAACCCAGGGCTGTCTGACTCAGGGAGCAGGGGCCAGGAGGTACAGACTATTCTGTGAATGCAGCAGGATTCCTTGCAGTGACACAACAGCTCCTGCGGACATCCTGTGAGGCCAAAGGCAGAGGGTGGGGGATGTGACTGGTTCACCAGGGAGTTCGTCCTTTAATGCAACTCTTGGCCCCGGTTCCCATCCCAGTCCTGCCTTCACCTTGCTGTGTGACATCAGCAGAGCCAAGCACCTCTCTGATCCCCAACTTCTTGTGTCAACAAAATGGGACTGACAATAGCTCCCACTAGGGCTGGGCGTTGTGGGGAGTAAGTAAACTGGTGGCACATTCTTACAGGGTCTGCACCCGCAGGCCAACGCACAGCAGGTGTTGGTTTCCCCTAAGAATACGCCCAGTTCTGCAGGGACTACAGCTGTGCTGGCAGGGTGGACCTGGGTGTCAAGCGTGACAGGAGAGCCTAGCACTGGCCAGTAGCATTGGGCTCAGAAGCAGTGGTTTTGAAGACACAGACATGGAGGGTCCCATCCCAATTCTATTCCTTAGTAGCTGTGAAATTTGGAGAAATAACTTCACTTGACTCAAAGCCTCAGCCTTTCAATAAAATGGGAATAAACCCCCCCCTTAGAGGGCTGCAGTCGCATATGTGCAGAGGGCTCGAGATTGTGCCTGGCACGTAGCCAGTGCTCCTTAAATGACAGCTTGCTGCTCTTAGTGCTGCTCACAATTCTTACTGTCACCAGACTACACCACAAACTGTTCCAGATGAGACGAAGGCAAAAATCCTTCACTTCTGATTTATCAGTGGACTGGCCCAAACCCCTAGCTGGCAAGAAGAGAGCAGAGACAGGGGTAGGGGCTTCCTCCTTAGTTTCCTGCCAGTTAAAACCAGAATTTGCCTCAGTTATGTCCAGGAGCACAGCAACATGACGTAGGGAAATAAAGTCTGGCTGGTATTCAGTAGAGGCACAGACGGACATGCAAGGGGCTCGATTCTTCAGGCTATTAAAAGAGGGGATGGAGAAACCTGGCACCACCTTTTTGGAAAGCTCTTTGCAGAACGTACCGGGAGCTTTAACCATGTTTGTTTCCTTTGCTCCAACAGTCCATTCCAGGGAATCTAAAGAGAAAACGACTCTCAAAGCAGAAAACGCTTTGTGCACAAAGATGCTCACCATGCATTATTCACAGCTCTGAAAACCTGGAAACAACTTTAACCTTCGTAGAGGACTGGTCAGCAAAGGCATGAGCAATGGCCTGTCCTCCAGCCACCACACATGGCCATGACAGAGGGTGATGATAATGTGGGAAAATGCTTGGTGGTGGCATGGGAAATGAAACAGGGAAAAAGCTACACAAAGCACAAGACTTCAATTGTGCTTAAAATTCTCATGGGAAAAAAAAAGGATCAAATAAAAATATGCTTAAATGTTAGTCATGTTTAGGTATCAGAACTATGAGTAATTTTTCCCTAACTTCCTCTACTTTCTAAATACCTTTATTGGACCTATACTATTTTATAAGGAAAACAATAAACATCTTTAAAAATGTTCAGGAGGCTGTTGGCAGGCAGCCTGCTCCATCCTTCAAGCTCTCCTGCGAGACCAAGGTGTACCCCACACACCTGCTCTCTTGATGGGTCCTCAGCTGCCCTAGTGCCTGCCCCTCCCCCAGCTGCATCACACCAGCTGTAACCACCCTGGTCCCACCCTCCCCAGATGGGCACCCCGTGGGCACTCAGACTGATGGTCCCACACCCAGCAAACACCAGGGACCGCAGACTGGGCAGTGCGGTGAGAGGTTCCATCAGCCCAGGCCCCGACCCCGGGTCAGGGATGTCTCCAGAATTATGTTCTTCACTGGGCTGAGGCTGCTTCCTGCTCCACTGCCCTTTGGAGTTCTATTCCTAACGAACCACAGTCTTGGAGGCAGCTGCAGTGTCAGGGGAATAAACCCAGATATCAGGGAGACCTGGGTTCGAATCCCTGCTCCACCTCTTAGTGGTGTGGGACCTTGAACAAGCAAATCACTTCACTTCTTAGAGCCTCAGTTTCCCCATCTGTAAAATGAGAGTTACAACGCCTGTCTCTAGGGTCGCTGTGGGATTTAAATGGAATGAAGTGCTCAGCACAGTGTCTGGTCTACAAGTGGCCCAAGAGAAATGAGGGTTTCTTTCCTTCCTGTTCTCAGTGACTCTTCCAGAAAGAAGGAAGAGGGAGGGGACTGAAGGGTAGAGAACGCTACAGAGAAAGAGGATCCACAGGGTCTGAGTGACACACACTCTGGGTGCAGACCCCCAGGACAGAAACCCAGCTCTGACACTTTCCAGTCATGTGACCTTGATTTCCTCATCTGTGCCATGGGGATGCCACAGCATCTGCCTCCTGGGGCTGCTGTAGGGAGGAACTGCGATGGTGCACACAGTAAGTGCTCAGCATTAGCTGCCACTATCATGTTGCTGCTGTTTAGCCCGGAAACACGTGTTTCCCTCTTGTGTTTCCTCCGGCCAGTTAGAGCATCTCTTCCCAGTTTCCAATGGGGTGCATGAGGCTCTGAGAGGGGAAGCGTCTGGCTAGTGGCGCAGGACCGGCTCGGGCTGTCTGGCCCACCCCCGCCTCCAGCAGCCCCGCATACCCACGGCGCAGATCTCGATGCTGATGGTGAAGATGGAGTGGGAGCGCGACGAGTCCTTGTTCATCAGCGTGTAGCCCACCGAGCGGTTCTTCCAGCCCGTCTCCATGATGCGCTCACACTGGGCCACGCTGTGCACCGTGTGCATGGACAGCCCCTTCACGTATACGCCCTTCTCCGGGTGCTCCTTCAGCTGTGGGCACGACGGACAGGTCACAGCCTGCTAGGGGTGGGGCTGGGGATCCCTAGGGAATACGAGAGAAGGGTCCGATCCAGGCCCCCTTGCCCTCCTGCAGTGCAGGCTGGCACCTCAGATACCCTGCAACGGGGAGGGAGTTCACTCCAGGTGCAGCCAGCCTCAAGCTTACCCCTGCTTCTTGCTTGTTGTGGGACCTTTGGTTAATGACTTAACCTGAGTCAGTGACTTAACCTGAGCCTCAGTTTCCACTTCTGTGAAATGGGTATGAGAGACCTATCTCAGAGGGATATGGTGACGATTCAGTAAAATAAGGCACATACAAGCCTTAGCACAGTGTCTGGCACATGAAAAGTACCAGCTGCTGTCCATGATGTTGTTGCTGGTACTATTATTATGAAGGTGGTTTTCAGTCTGCCAGCTTCGGCTCCCTGGACTGACCTTGTAGTCAGCCAAGGGCTCTGAGTGCTGTCCCCTTCAGCCTGTCTTTATGGCTCCTGATCACCTCTTTGCCATCACTCCAGGGCAACAGGAATGTTCCCAGAGCCTTGGACCATGGTAGGTAAATGGCCAGTTGCTGCCCAGAACTCCCCTTGGCTCACAGCTCAAATAGCCCGCAGCCCTCAGTGCAACGGCAGTCAGTAGATTAATTTATCTAATTGCTCCCTGCTCACTTTCCAGGCAGCCAAGTTGTTTTGTCGCTGACACAGAGCTGTGAAATGCAATATTTTTCAAGTGTGAGAGGAAATAAAACCACTCTGGTGAGAGCAGAATTAACTAGGACAAAAGGCATTTGTCTGCCAAATGGCCCTGCTGGCTGGAGCCACAGAAGCTCCAATGCTTTGCTCCGGGCACGTTCAGGAGTCCCAGCCCCCCGCTGTGCAGGGGGAGGCAAGCCCAGGCTGGCCCTATCTGCTAAAGGGTGAAGTGGGGAAACAGCCAGACCCAGCCGAAGGAAGGGCTGAGTTTAATGGAACAGATAAGCAACCGAGGCACAGAAAGGTTAAAAGACTTGTGGAAGGTCACACAGCTATTAATGGGGTAACAGACAACAGAAGGCTCCAGAGGCAAGGCATGGGGAGAGCTGGAGCACCCTGCAGTAACTGAAGCTTGAAATGACAAAGGGCTGACCTTGACCTAGGAGGTAGCTGTGAGGATGGAGAACAAAGGACCAAAGCAGGAGCCCTGGGGTGCCATGTGCCCGGAGATCAGCCACCCTCCAGAACCTAGAACCCTGCCTGGCTCCTAGGAGGCCCAGGTGGGTGAATTGTTGCTCCCAGTTTCAGAAAGAATCTGTTCAGTCAGTTTACTGAGGCAGGCAGACTCGGGCTGGAAACCTGGTTCTGTCACTTGCTTGTTGGGAAAGTCAATTTGCCTCTCTAGGTCTCAGTTTCCTTTTCTGTAAAATGGGGATAATAAATCCTGTTTCTGCAATACTACTATGAGAATGAAAAAGAGAACGGGTCTAAAAGAAACACTCTGCAGGTACTCAGTGGGAGCTCAGTGAACTCAGGTCGTAAGGAGGACGGGGACGCTTGGGCCTGAGCAACCTCAGGAGACCGTCACCGCAGGGGTCTCCCACCACTCTACGTTTAGGCCCAGGAGGGCTTGCTGAGCCCTGTCTCCTGATGCCCCCAGGGTCCCTCCCTGGCACTGAGTGAAGGCCACCAGCTGTGCACTGCCTTCCACATAACTGCTCATCTTGGCTGCAGGGCCAGAGCCGGGTCACCATGGCAACCAGCTGGGATGCAGCGAGGATGGAAGGGCCAAGGGCAGAGGCGTGTCCAGAGCCCAGGTCCGTGGAGAAGGGTGTGGGCCCTCGACACTCTGCTCAGACATAGGGTGGGCAGAACCTGCTGGAGAAGCCCTCTGGGCCCCCCCCCACGACACGATACTGCTGGCCTTAGCTGATCGAATCACCTCTAATTACAAAAATTATCAGGCCCTGTGTGAAGCACAGGTTAAGAGCGTGTGCTGTGGAGAGTGGCCCCTGGATTCAAGCCCCGTCTCCACCCTACTGACTGTGCCCATGGGCTGGTGTACTCAGGCACGTTGAGCCTCGGTTTCCTCATCTGTTATAAAGGATAAGAATACCACCTCCTCCTAAGGCTGTGGGAAGGTTTACGTGAGAGCCATCTGCCCATCATCCACACCCACGAGGGAGCGTGTCAGAAACCCGTGCCCCCGTGGGGTGTGTTTCTCGGAGCAGTCCCCAAGGCAGGCTGGTTCCCCAAGCCTGAGACCCGGGCGCAGCTGCAGCGAATGCAGTTGGCTGCCAGCCTGTGGCCCCTGGGTAACCAAGGCCTTTCTAGGGTCCAGCGAAGTGAGAAAAGGGAGGCCCCTGCTGCTGCCCCAGTACGGGTTGGCAGAAGTTTGGCCAGCGGGCAGGAGGCCCTAACCCCGCAGGCTGGCCTTTTGGGCTGACACGTGGGAGCAACACCCTGTGCCCCCTCCACTCCCCACCTCCCTGTCTGGGGGCTGAGCCATGACTCAGCTACACCTGGAGAGGGAAGACAGTAGAAAAACTCCAGGGGGGCGGCTGGAGCTCCTGCACAGAAAGGGCAAAGCACTGCTGTTTGTGCCAGAGCCAGCTGGAGGAGGAGGCCCAGGGTGCAGCCAGGTCAGCATGGAGATGGGACGGGGGGAGCTCACACCCACACGGCCTGGTGCCTGGCACCCACAGGGTCTTCCCAGGAATGAATGAATCAACTGATGAATGTCCCTCCCTTGGAACTGGAATTACTGGCTTCTTATTGCCCCAAGGGGTTCCCATATTGCTGACCCTGAAAATACTGGGAGGAAAGCTTTTGAGCACTCAGGCCTCACAAGAGTTCCGGTATTAACTCTAGTAATCTACTGTGCGACCTTGGCCAAGTCACTCCCCTCCTTAGGCCTCAGTTTCCTCATCCGTACCAAGGGGTTGGACTAGAAGTTTTCTAAGGGTCTTTCTGGCTCAAATATTTAAGGATTTTTCCAGCTGTCCCCTGGGGCCTGATTGGTTTGGTTTGGTTTGGCCCTAAAGTAGTTGCCTGTCAGAGAGGAACTCACGGATCCCTCAAATGAACCCAGGGCAAGTAGAGAAATTCCAGGTTGCTTCCAATGTCCCAAACAACTCTAGAGGGCACTGCAGGGCAGGAGGATTGGAGGCGTCATCAGGAGTCCCCTGTTGTGGCTCTGCCCGCCCCCCCCCATGGCTGTCATAGGGCGTGCCATGGGGAGACGTAAACAGTTCTGGTCATAAAAAAATGTCCAACCTGACTCTGTGGCTTCCTATCCCAGTCGCCTCAGGAAGCCACCTCCTCTTTCCAAGCCTAGTTTCCTCATCTGTAAAACAGGGCTCTCCACAGCAACCTGGGGGCTAATGCTCATTCATGACGATACTTCCCCTCCCTGGGCATTCTGATTCTGAAGGCGGTGGGCCGCCCCCCAATGCTAGATGTGTGCCTCTTGGGCGTCCATTGGTTGCTGGTCAGACAAGAGTTGGAGGGGAGGGGGACAGCCCGCCAGCATTCTGGCCACAGGTCTGGGTCAGCGTCCCCCACAGGCCTCTTCTCCTTGGACCAGACCAGGCCCGCCCAGCACTTAAAGAGCCCCCGACAGGAAACGTAACCAGGGCCTCTTACTAAGGTGAAGGCTGAAGGGTCCCAGACCTGAGTCCAGCCTGGCCACCAACTGGCTGTCTCTTGACCTCTCTGGGCTCCCCAAAGGGTCAGCCTAGTTCTGCCTGTCTTGTTAGAGCCCCCAAACATCTAAGTCTGACACCCTTTCCTTCTGAGTCTAGACTTTAGGAGACTAAGGACAATTTATGAAACGTGGGCAGAACCAGCACCAACCTTTTCTGTCGTGAGCTACCATCTGATCTTGACCGCCTCTCCGGGAACTCCACTTTGCAACCCCCCATCATATTCTCTATCCTTTCTCTGAACCCCAGTGGCATGAAATGGCTCACACACTGCACACCTGCCAGGTGTCGGCACCTGCTAAGCAGCTCTCCCTCATTATCCTCTTCAGTGTTCAAAAAAAACTTATGAGGTCAGAAGCTCATAACACGGTCCCAGAAGCTGAGCCCCGCAGCAGCAGTAAAATGGAATGATTAAGATCCAGGACCTTAGGCGCTGGCTGGTTGGCTCAGGTGGTTAGAATGAGGTGTTACAACACCAAAGTCAAGGGTTTGGTCGCTGTCCTGGCCAGCTGCCAAAAAAAAATAATAATAATAATCCAGGACCTTGACGTCAGACAGACCTAGGTTTGGCCACTTCCTACTGTGTAAAACTCAGACAAGTTAATTAACCTCTCTAAACCTCCTTCCCACGTTGGTAAATTGGAGATAATAATATCTATAAGGTTACTGGATATTAAATTGGATAATATGCCTAAAGCAGCCAGTAAATAGTAAGTACTTAATTAATGATAATCATTATTACCTTCTTTTTAGCCTCAAGGGCTCTCAGAGATTCTCAAAATAATTTTTTAGAAGTGGAACCCTTTTTTCAAATGAAATCTATCACAAAACTCCATCCCTTTCTTTTTTTTTTTTTTTTTTCCTTTTTGTCTTTTTTCGTGACCGGCAACGGATCGCAACCCTCAGTGTCGCGCCCGTACTGGACCGGGACCAGCAATGGGATCGCAACCCTCGGTGTTGCACCCACACCTCGCTCAGCCAGTGAGCGGCCGGTCTGTATGTGGGATCCGAACCCTCGGCGGGAGCGCCGCCACACTCCCAAGCGGCGCACTGTAGCAGTGCGCCACTGGGCCGGCCCCAAAACTCCATGCCTTTCAACAGATATAGGTGCCATTGCCCAGTGTGAGGTCCAGGCCTCCCTCACGTGCTGGCAGGAGGCTCATTAACCCCACCCCTGCATCATGGACTCTGATTGAGGATACTCCAAAATTCAAGTTCAAAAGTCCCCACTCAGCCGGTCCGTCACGCACTCGGGAGAGTGGGGCTCTTGGGAGTGCAGCAGCACTCCCGCCACGGGTTCGGATCCTATATAGGGATGGCCGGTGCACTCACTGGCTGAGCGCAGTGCGGACGACACCAAGCCAAGAGTTGTGATCCCCTTACCAGTCACACAAAAAGACAAAAAAAAAAAAGTCCCCACTCTAGTCTGAACAGTGCCTGTGCCCTCAGGACACCTTCTCCGTATTTCTAAGGGAGCACACCGGATGCCAACTTCCCCCGACCACTGCCCCTGCCCGCACCCCATCTGCCCCCACCTCCAGCTTCTGCTTGGTGTCAGCCCCCAGCAGGTCACGGACATCTTCATTGTAGATCTCCAGGTAGGAGGCCCGGACCAGGAACTTGGTGTTCTCTGCACACTGCATGGCGTGAACAGAAAGAACAGAGGCATCTGAGCACCAGGCTACCTGTGGCCAGGCCTGACCCTGAGCCCTCTGCAGCCAGGACATCACGGGAGGAGAGAGCATGTCAGGCTGAGAGGAAACCCCAACCCCACCTTGCCCTGCCTGCCCTCCTGCCAAGCTCTCCACTCCTCTCCGGCTTGGTGGACCCCTGGGCCTCTCTGAGTTGCATAATTCTCAGATTGCTATTTGCTTGTCTAACGCTCTGTCCACAAGCTCATGGGAGAGGAAACTGAGGCCTCCCCATTGTTTGGGTAGAAAAACTGAGGCCACAAGGAAGGCCTGGACCAAGCACTGGCTCTGGGCTGATCCCTGGCAGCTCTCCTAGCCCCTAGATGTTCCTGTGACCCACCACAAGGAGCTCTGCTGACCAGGGTCACAGTCCCCACTCTGCCATTTCCCGGACACAGGACTCTCTGCACGTTGCCATGAATGGTCGCCAGGGCAATTCTCATGGGCCGCCTGGACACTGAGACTTATTCAGAGCCCAGTCTTGACCTGGCCCATAAGGGCTCTAAGCTCCAGCCTCCCTATCTTGAAAATGGGAATATAAGTTACCACCTGGGTTACTGGGGGTTTGGTGACATAATTATACAAAGGGCTTCGCACAAGGCTTGATCCGTAGTTACTGCTCAATAAAAAGGGAAGCTATGATGGTGACAACCACATCTCTCCCCTGTGCTTGGGGTCATCATATCCACATGAAATGTAAATGAAATGTTAAAATCCGAAAACGGCAGGAGAAAAAGATGGAATGGGTAGAGAGAGTTTTTAGTCTTAAGTCCTTTTCCCACACCTTTTCAGAAACCAGAGCCTGCCTCGCCTCTGCTGCCCAGTGCCAAGTCAAGACCAGGCTCTGATCGCGTCCTTGGGTCCATGCAGCAGGTCTGGAGTGCCCTGGCGACCATTTGTGCCACCAGCCTTGCCCCTCCCCTCCACAAAGCCCATACCTGGACGCTCTCAAAAATGTGCTCGAAGGCCCTGGGGATGATGCCTCTCTGGGAGGAGGGCTCTCGCAGGCCCTGCATGGTGAAGGACTTCCCACTGCCCGTCTGGCCGTAGGCAAAGATGGTGCCATTGTAGCCCTCAGTGACACCCTGCATGGGAGGAAGCCAAAGCCAAAACCTGCTGCCCAGCTGCTCCTAACCACAGAGGGGGATGGGACTCTGCATGCTTGCACGCCTCCCTGGGTCTCCAGTGAGGTGGCACTAGGCTGGGGGGAGGGAGCAGAGAGATGACAAGGCATGGCTCTGTCCTCAAGGCAAGAGCTGGTGCCATGGAGCCTGGCTACCTGGGTTCAAATCCCATCTCCACCTTTTTCTGACAGTGTGCCTCAGGCTGGTCTTACTCAGGCACATCAAGCCTGTTTCCTCACCTGTAATAAAAGATACAAGGAGCACCTCCTGCGAAGGCTGTTGCCAGGGTTACAAGAGAATTATTTCATGCATCAGCACAGGGAGTGCTGGCATCCAGAGGTGCTCACTAGGTGTCTGGAAGGTGGGAGGCTGACACATCCGAGTGGCCTCATTCCAGGCAGTGGAGGTGTCAGTAAGGACAGAAGTTCAGGCAACAGGCAAGGAGAGGGTGTGCACGCAAGGGAAAACAGGACAGAGTGGGAGAACTAGGCGGAGCTTCTGGGGAGCAAAAATTGGGTAGAACTGGGGAAGCTGATAGGTGGTTGGATTTTGACAGGGGACAGCAAGAGGAAGGCAGTCTAGGTAGGCGACAGCTTGAGCAGAGACATGGAGGTGAGGCGTTGACAGCAGGGGAGGTTGGGGCAAGGGGGTGGAAGATGAGGCTGGGAAGGAAGACAGGAGCAAACCAGGTGCCATCTGCAAACTCATTCTTCACTCACTGATGCATTTATTCTTCCCATAGGCACCACTGTCTTCTCTGTGCCTGGCACTGTGCTCTGGCTGGGGACAGAGCAGTGAACAAGGTGGACACAGCCCCTGCTCTCACAGACTTCATGATGTCAAGAATTCTAGAACTCAGTATGGGGCAGGGGTGGGTCCTGCGTCATCAGAAGGTGAGCCCAGAGAACTGCTCCCAGGGCCCAAGGGCCCCATGGCACCTACATCCGGTTGCACTGCAAAGACCCATGCAGTAGACCAAAACAGGGCTGGGCATCCCCAGGATCTGCTGGTGAGGGAAGGCTGGAAGTCGCCACTCACAGCTCCTGGAAAGAGCAAGGCCTCATTTTTATAGGGCAGAAATGAATGAGCACCTCTCCTTTGTCCAAGAACACCATGACCACTGTGCAGGTTCCTGCAGCTCATCAGAGGGCAGTGGGCTCCCATGTGCACCGGCCCCCTGAAGTGGGGACAGTAGTGGCAGAGAGATTACCCAACCAGGACCCAAGGCGGGGCTTCCCAAACCCATGTGTGGGGAGAGCAGGGAGCATGAGAAGCCCCAGGAACAACATGCAGAAGCAGCCCTGGGAGCGTGTGTTGCCTGAGCGTGGGGAAGGGATTCTCTGTGAAGATCCCGACAGCTGCGCTGCACGATGCATGAGCCACGGCGGCAGCCACACTAGCCGCGTGCCCAGCGAGACTGAGGAACTGCATTTACTGTATTTTAATTAATTCAAATTCAAAATCTAAAGCAGTATAAAATATTTGCCCATTAAACACAACTTTATTTTTTGTGTTTCATTTTAAGCATTGAAACTTCAGCATCCAAATTGAGATGTGCTATCAGCGTAAAATACATACCAGTTTTCAAAGACTTAGTATGAAGAATATAAAATATCTCACTAATAGTTTTCATATAATGATCATAATACCTATTTTTATATTTTAGTGAAATGGTAATCTTTTGGATATATTAGGTTAAGTAAAATATATTATGAAAATTATTATTTTTTACTTTTTCCTTTGATGACTTAAACTGTGACTACTAGAAAAATTTAAGTTACGTATGTGGCTCACGTTGTATTTGTATTGGGAAGCACTGCCATAGAGCTGTCATCCAATGTGGTAGCCATGAGCCACACGTGGTTACTTAAATTCAATTTGCCGCACATGGCTAGTAGGTACCTAATCGGACAGCACAGATACAGAACATTTCTATCATCACAGAAAGTTCTATAGAATACTACTGCTCTGCAGTTAAGTAGAAAGCCATTTTACATGCATTTCTAAGGCAAAACAAAGGCTTCAGGAAAGTGTCACATGTCAATCGAGTCCTCCAGATCCCCAAAGGACAAGCACACATGGAGCAGGTCCTAAATGCTCACCATTCTGTGCCTCCACCCTGGGTTCTGCCATGTCCACCTGTGCTATTATTTATCTCCAGGTCTCAGCTTAGACCTCACCTCTTCCAGAGTCCTCCCTGCCCTCCCCTCCAGCCTACCCTATGCTGCCAAAGCCTCCTGGGCATCCCCTACTCATCACCCCAGATAGTAACTATTAGTTTAGCTGCTCTTCTGCCTGACCACAAGCTTGCTGAGGGCTGAGTCCGTGTCTCCTTTACCATGGTGCTCTTCATGCCAAGGATGGGGCCTGGTATGGGGATGCTATTTAGTCATTTAGTTAGCTGAATGAATGAATGAATGAGTGAATGAATGAATGAATGTATGTTATGTCGACTCTGAGGCTCTGTGGAATGTCCAGAGGCAGCTGTCTAACAGAGAACCCCAAGTACCTGCAAAATTCAGGAGTGAAGGGAGAGTGAAGGAGAGATTTGATAGGGTTGTCACTATGTCCTTAATGTCTCCCTCTCTGGGCTGGGGCTTCCTAGGGACCTGATAAAGGAGCCTTGCTCAGGGGATTACTTCCAGGATGAGGAAGAGACCAAGACCTCACCCATGAGCAAGGCAGGAACCCTGCAGGAGGCAAAGCCAAGAACACCATCTTCAAGTTTCCCAGGGGCCAACCCTAGATAGAGGGAGCGGAGGTGCTCTGGGAGCCCCGGGGACAGAGCCAGAGCAGGTCACTCAAGGCTTCAGGGAGGCCAGCTGGGATTCACTGTGCAGAATTGTCTTCTACAAACCAAGAAACAAAGGTAGAACGAGGTGCTTTGGGAAGAGTGAAGTCCTATCAGTGGAGACCTGCAAGCAAGGCTGGTCCTCCATGTGGTGCACATTCAAGGACATGACAGGGGAGAAGGGTTGGAGCAGATGACCCCTGGGGTCCTTTCCCAGCCTGGGAGTGAGGCAGGACAACCTGGCTATCCCCAGAACCTAGGGCCATTCCCTGGGGAGAGCTGCCCCTGGTCCCCTGGACATCGTCTCTGGTCAGGTGCTGACCATTGGGAAGCTCTGGGCTTCAGAGCTCATCAGCTCTCTCAAGGGTTTTGACCAACTCTTGGCAGAAGAGATGGGGTAGCCAAAGGAGGTGTTCTCGGGGATGTTAATTGGCCTGTCAGCCAGAATAGAAAGGCCCCATGGTGGAACATGTTTCAGAAATTCTAGGTTAAATAAGCCAAACTGGTTTTCTCGCTGCAGGATTTCTCAGAGCCTCAGATACCCTAACAGGTCCTGTGAAGCCTGGAGCAAGGGAGGGCGCCCACGGTTTTGCCCAGACCTCCTTTTCTTCATGAAACAACCCATGACATCGCTGAACAGTGGGGAGATGCTGGTGGAGAGCAAAGAGCCCTAGCCAGGAGAGAGGAGGCGTAGGCCCAGCCCCACCTCTGCCAGAACTCGCTGTGGGGGCCCGGGCACGTTTCTTCCTTCAGGGCCTCAGTCTCCCCATGTGGGAAATGTGAGTGCCTTCCCTGTTACGAAGCACAGATGAGCTCTCTAGTGTGAGCAAAGCCTGTAAAGCGAGACACCGTTGTTGTCGCCTCCCTGTTGCTCAAACACTGAGAAGGAAGGTGTGAGACCAAAGCTACAGGTCTCCATTCCTCCAAGACAAAGGCCAAGCCAGCGGCCTTCTCTGCAGAAGCAGGGGACCAGCGAGATCTTTCCCCCACTACGTACGGAGTAGGCCTGCTCCAGCCAGCACCCCTCAGAAAGGCCAAGGGAGGATGAAGGTGAGCTGGGGGAGAGGGCTGGAAGGGGGAGCAGGCAGAGACCATGGCCTGGGGCGGGGGTGGGGAGGTGGGAGAAGGGGGAGGAGGGGACGGAGGGGATGGAGGGGACTGGAGCTCTTGGGAGGGAAGTGGCCGCAGCCTTTAGGGTCCTCAGATGAGGGAGGTGGGGAGGGGGCTGGGGTTCTTGTGCAAAGGGGGCTGGGGGGGGGCCGGTTTGAGGACCAGCTTCGGCGTCGGGGACAGTAGAGACCTGGATGTGACACTTTGGGCTGGTTCCAGCTGCCTCCTGCCTGGACAGAAGCCTGCAGACCAACCTGCCGCTGTCCCCCTGCGCCCCTCCAGAAGGGCCTGCCCGCCCGGTCCCCTGGGCCCCTGCCCTGCGGGTCTCGGGGCGCCCTCACCTCCACCAGCGGGTAGGCGATCTCGTTGTAGATCTGCTCGGTGACGTGGTCCATGCAGTAGGCGCCGTCGAAGGTGAACTGCTTGGGGGGCTCGTCGGGGGCGCCGGGGTTCCGGATGAAGCACCAGCCGCGCGCGCCGTCCACCGCCACCACGGGCCGGCAGTTCAGCTCCCGCTCCCGCCGGCTCATGGGGCGGCAGCGCACCACCACCTTCACCGACTCCGAGGCCATGGCGCCGCGCCCGGGGCACGCGATGGGACTGC